CCAGCAGCAGAGCACACGCACTTAACTGCTATGCCACGGGGCTAGCCCCCCCAAGTGATTTTTTTAAGGTCACGTAGCTTGTAAGTGGCAGAGACAGACTCCAAATCCAGGCAGCCTAGCTTTGGAGCCCACATTCCTAAACCCTTTGCCATACTGCCCTCACTTGACTCTCTCCTTGGATGTCTGGGAAGTGTCTCAAACTCAATACAGTTGGCCCTCTGTATCTGCAGTTTTGGCATCCACGGATACAGAGGGCTGATTGTATTCATTGTACTAAGCCATTTTATACATATAAGGGACTTGAGCATTCTCGGATTTGTGTAACCGTGGGGGTTCCTGAAACCAGTTCCCCTCAGTTACCCAGGGATGACTGTATATCCAAAATGATTCCCTCCTGCTCCCACCAGAACTTCCTTTATGCTCCCTTCACCTCACCCCCACATCCACTCCATCAGCCAATCCTGTTGCTTCTACCTCCAAAATACGTTCTGAATCACTCCATTTCATTCCATCTGCTATTCCCTAGCCTGGCCCCTTTTGCCTCCAGATCTCCCCATCTTCTGTTTCAGGTTTCAGCTCAAATGCTACCTCCTCAGAAATGCCTTCCCTGGGGTGGGTCAGGTGGCATAGTGGTTAAGTTTGCATGCTCCACCCTGGCGGCCCAGGGTTTGCTGGCTCAGATCCCTGGCGCGGACCTACGCACTGCTTATCAAGCCATGCTGTGGTGGCATCCCATATAAAGTAGAGGAAGATGCGCACAGATGTTAGCCCAGGGCCAGTCTTCCTCAGCAAAAAGAGGAAGAATGGCAACAGTTTTAGCTCAGGGCTAATCTTCCTCAAAAAAACAAAAAAACAAAAAAAGAAATGCCTTCCCTGACCACCTTTCTTACCACATCACAGATTCTTGTTCTCTGCCGGCATTTATCATGTATGTCAGGGTGCCTGAAACTCGGTGCTATTGACATTTTGGGCTGGATAATTCATTGTTTGGGGAGTGGGAGACAGGGAGCTGTCCTGTGCATTGTAGGGTGTTTAGCAACATCCTTGGCCCCTACCCAGGAGATACCAGTAGTATACCTCCCCAACCCCCCAAAGTTGTGACAACCAAAAATGTTCCCAGACATTGCTAAATGTCCCCAGGGCGGCAAAGTCACCCCTGGTTGAGAATCATATTTCAAATAATCTTATTTGTCGGCTTATTTGTCTTATTTTGCTGCTTCCTCTTCTTCTAGAATGTAACCAAAAAGCAGTTAACAAAGGCAGGAGCAAGGCCTTGGTCTTGGTGAATACATTGCTAGGTTTGGAACGGAGCAGCTTGTTGGCACTGTTACCACTTACTGTAGTGAAGAGACTTGGGGACGGGTGGACATGAACAAGACAAGGAATCAAGGGTCTGAATGTCTGGCTGGATATCAGATGGGGAGGTCAAGGGGCGGCTGGACCTACCTGGAGCTTAGGGAAGAGGTCTGGGCTAGAGATGTTGTAATCTTTTTTTTTTTTTTTTTTAATTTTATTTATTTATTTTTTCCCCCCAAAGGTCCAGTAGATAGTCGTATGTCATAGCTGAACATCCCTCTAGCTGCTGTATGTGGGATGTGGCCTCAGCATGGCCGGAGAAGCCGGTGCGTCGGTTCGCGCCTGGGATCCGAACCAGGGCTGCCAGCAGCGGAGTGCGTTCACCCAACCACTAAGCCATGGGGCCGGCCCGAGATGTTGTAATCTGAGTCACTGCTGTACAGAAGGAACGTGAGGAGCCGGGCCTCACTCATCCTGGCACTCTGCCCCATTTCTCCATATTGTCCCACTCTCATTTCTTAGCCTAAGGAGCCAATAACTTGAGCCTTAATTTGAATTCCTCATTTGCCAAATGGTGAAAAGTGTTGAAGGCAGGCTTCATTATCTACCAAACACTTCCAGTGGAGACTGCCTGGCCCCTGTGCCAGCCTCAGTCTAGCTTTGTTTCCATCACCTCCTTGCTACATTTCCCAGGTCTGGGTTAGAGTCACCGTGGCCTCCAGACTCCCAGAGCTAACAGCCTGGTCTAATGGTTAAGTCCCTGGCACTTTGGCAACTGATCCTCCCCTGCTAGTCTAACTTTTTGACAACGGGCAAGTTGCTTATCTTTTCTTTTTTTAAAAAATTTTTATTTATTTATTTATTTTCCCCAAAGCCCCAGTAGATAGTTGTATGTCATAGCTGCACATCCTTCTAGTTGCTGTATGTGGGACGCGGCCTCAGCAAGGCTGGAGAGCGGTGCGTCGGTGCGCGCCCGGGATCCGAACCCGGGCCGCCAGCAGCGGAGCGCACGCACTTCACCGCTAAGCCACGGGGCC